ATGGAAAAAGAGGAAATAACAGGCTGGAGAACCGCTTTAAAAGAAATGCATTCCGCTCTTAATAAACAGGTTTGTGGGCAAGATGTCGTCAATATTCCCAAAGGCTTTTCAATAGTGGCGTGGTTTGATTCTGTGCCTATCGTGTCAGCGACGTTTTATCGAAAGTGTCTTATATAATTAAAAAATAAATTTACACCGAAACATGTGTCAAAAAAAGTATGTCAAAAGTACATGTGTTTTTTTTAAAAAAGAGGGAAGTACTTGTGCCTAGCACAAAAAGAACTTTGGTCATTATCGGAATAGAGCAGAGTCACATGAACCATGAAATAAGAACTAAAAAGTACTAACTAATAGGCACTATTAGTTCCTAATAGTTGTTAGCACTGAACCAGAACAGTTTATTTGATCCAATAAGCAATACCCAAGGGACCACTTTAACAATCAAGTAATCTCTTTGTACTGTTCTGGTTCAGTGATAGTGTCTAAATAGTGCCTATTAGTAACTAAGTATTTAGTTTCTATTTCATGGTTCAAGTGACTCTGCTCTAGAACGTACGTAAAACAATAGTCTCCTTCACGGTTACCTACGCCATCCTGCAAGGTAGCCGTGCCTTTACATCGAAGCGAGACAACCGTTTAGCGTGCAATGATAGATACAGCCTTTTGCAGAAATTATGAGAATTGCCTAAATATCTAAATATCATAATATCCATATCCATATATTGTCCGGAACACGCGGGTTTGCTAGAATAATTCATTGTTGACATCGAGAAAATGTTCAGAACTACGGATAAGTCAATCGCCAAAAAAAAACTAAAACTAAACTACAAAGACAAGGGACTAAGGGCATCGCGTGGGATTACCCATCATGCACTCGATATTATGATATTTAGATATTTCAACAATTCTCATAATTTTTGCAAAAGGCTGTACCTGTGAATAATTGTCAGTAGGTGTGAAAGAAGGTTTCTATCATTGCACGCTAAACGGTCGTCTCGCTTCGATGCAAAGGTACGGCTGTCTTTCAAGATGTGGCAGGGAACCGTGAAGGAGACTATTCAAGAAGTCCGTTCCCTGGAATACCAGCAATCCAATCAAACCATGGACAAATATCTCAGTCAATATTTGCAGATCAATCATCCTGTATTGCATTGTGTGTTTTTTTTTCAGTCTGAAATTAACACCTCTTTGCATCACTCATATGCGTCATTGGACAAAAAAGTCAGCTCTATAGGTTCTACATTTCCTGTTCACGGCAGGTAAACATGATTATGACGATGATAACATAC